TATATATATATGCACGTACATACAGAAAAAGGATACACTACTCTTTCAGTGGAGAATTGCACTAAATGGTGCTCTGGTGTCCATGGGTGGGATTTATTGTTGGTTCACATCATAAATTTAGTGGTTTCTATGATATATTTGCCTTCTTAAGCTGATACATTTTATTACCTACTGTAAAAATTTGGCTGATAAAATTATTCAAGCAACAATGTTGAGAGTTTTTTCTTCCTTAAAATAAGGTCAAGCGGTGAACTTTGTTACTGTTGACAAATTATCTTAAAATATATGAGGAACCTGTTGGTTATTTTAAATATGAAACTGGTAGGCAAGGAAGACTTTGCAAGTATATGAAGAAGATGCTAATGCAGTTGGTTATTTGAAGAACCATTATTAAAATTGTAAAAATACATTATCATTCCAGCAAGAAATAAGCTTAAGAACAGTATATTCATATGTTGCCAAAGTAGAGTGCTAAGGTAAGAAAAGAAAAATGTTTAATCCACTAAATTTTATGTAATGATACTAAGAGACTAGATGTTGTGGGAGCAGTACACTGAAGAACTCTCTCACATTCTCTTGCATGTGCACCTGCCATCAGGTGTTCCAGATCTGTCAGAATTGGAATTACTGAGAAAATGTCTGATCTTTTTTATTTAGAAAAATAGAGAGAGAGAAAGAAAACTTCAAGGGCTGTTCCTTAGTGTCATTTAGCTGAAAAGCTCCTTTCTTTGCACTTTCTTTGTAACAAAAGATAATGGGGTGTAAGCAAGATGAGACATTTAACTGCCCTTTACTTACTTAGCTAAAATTAGTCTAAGTAGGAAAACAGTTGCTGCATTAGAAAATTCTTACAGTTTGTCAGTGAAGTCTGTATGATGGAGCTCCAGTAATATCAAAATATGCCAGCTGCATTTAAGTGCTCCTTTTGGAAAGCAGTGGGAATAAAGTGTATAAAAATGGGAAGCCAGGGGGAAGAAGTAGTTAATGTTAGGATAAACTTCATAAGTAGTAGGATAGGGAGCCAGCTTCCTAGAAAATAAAGCAGATTAATTTTTTTTCTACTGCGGCAAAGTTTAGTCAGGCTTAGAGATCTGTATACACAACAGACTTCACCCATCTCAAAGGAAGTTTCTGCTGA